GTTCTCGAAGCCCAACATTTCTTCGCATAAACTACATTTGAACCACAAATAATAATTCGGAATACCAATAATTTATTTTTTTTATTTCTCAAACATGTAAGTTCAGTTATATGGAGCACGAATTCTTTTGTATACGTGTTTATGTAAGGCCTGATTCTAGGGGATGTCGTTGGGCTCTCGTGGATTTTTATTCGAACTGTCGCATAATTGTGATGAAGGACTTTAGCTTAAATTTCCTTCATCCTATTAAGCGACTTAGAATAACTATATTTCTCATATAAGAGCTGTATTCATCCTGTTTCACTTAAACTGATGAAGAATTGGTAGTTGAAATTTCCAACAGTCATATGAGTTAACCTTGAGTTTCTAGTTAATTTCACAAAGCTTTGCCTCCAAACAGTATTTAAATCAGGGACTGCAGTTTCGATCTCGTCTAGGTCTCATCTTCACACATAGTGAGATTTGTACTCGGTTAGTGCATTGTAGTCTCTACGCGGTAACCATGACACCTTATTGTAATTATTGCTCTTGAATCGTAGAGCAGATATGAATTTTAAGGAAACGCATGTCTTTGTTATATCGCTTTCTGTGGTAGGATCGTTGATGAGGCAAAGTTCGATTTGCTATTTAACTCGAATACATTAATTATCTTAGTTTTCAATTAGGGTTTCAGACAACAAGTAGATCTTGAATAAGAACTGTGTCGGTTAAGGGGATAGGATAAAATTAAGCCGCAAATAAGAGTAAAAGTTATAACTGAAGTCGTATATGAGTGAAAGTGTGCTAGACCGAATATGAATTAATTTTCGAAGTAGAATCATGAAAAACTTGATTCTCTTAAAAGTGACCTAACAAATCGTTTCAATAAAATCTTATGACACTTATTCGTACACTTTACTAAGTTATATTCATTAGAATAGGAAGCAAAAAATTCTATCTAAAATCCCTTTTCATAATAGGTATGCAAATCTCTTCAGCCACGCACTCATCTTCTGGCCCTTCTTTGCGTTTCCTTACATCCCGTCCCTTCGCTAGTCGCGTATTTCCTGCGTTCACATTGAGGGCTTGCAGTTCTGATTAATTCAATTTTTGCTTAATTTAATGCAAACAGGATAAAAACTTGAGGTGAAATTGGGGATGAGTAGTGTCTAATGTTATTATTCAATATCTCTCGATAGTTAAAAAAGCATCTCACATAATGTATAATAGGGTCGTATATTTTAATGGCGAGTCTCATTTTGCCTCATCGCCTATTCCACTATACGTTTGATTTGGGAGAAAAATTGAATGACTTTACATGCAGGACTGAGTGTCGAATCTAGTTGGGAGGAGGCCAAAATTTCAGTCTTTTAGAACGGAAATTGATAATGAATAGTACATTGTTAAGGGGGGGTATTAAGCCAATTTCGTTTAAGGTGATAAATGGACTCATGGTAAAATTTTCCCACAATGCTATGAGTAAGCCTTACGTTTTCACTGAATGTTAATAATACAATAAGTCATGTAGTCGATGGCTATATAAAATAAAACTTCGCTTCAGCGGCGATGACATAGGGAGTAATGTGTCGAGATCATATACTGAACTACCACAATCTGGGTTAGAGTCTCGCTGTGTGGGTTGATGAGACCAAGCTAAGGTAGAAACTGTGGTCCTCTGAATAAAAAAATCTTTCAGGAAGAAAGGCCATGTGAAATTCAATATAAATGTAATGTAATCTCATATAATTGTGGAATAATTGAACTACTAAGCCATCATCACCTTAAATAAATTGGTGATTGTTCATAAGTGGCTTCTGACTCTAATGATGTCCGTCACACTGAGGATGAAAGCACAGCATGGATTCATCTGGGTTTTCTTCGCACACTCGAACAGCCACAAGTTTTATGAAATCCTCCAGTGTCCGTTAAGTGCAAGCTAAGCCTACCTTCTACTCGTCTTCTCCCATCGAAGCAAAGGATATGCAAATATGCACATGCTTTAAGATTGGCATATGACTTGAACTAACTAATTCATTTTATCCTCCATCAAAATGTGTAAATAAAGAGTACAAATGCAGCATTTAGGAATGAGCCGGTAAAAAAGTTGTCTGACCTCGAGTCCACAATTTGGTGGTGTTGCCGGGGCGCCTTAGTTGGACACATCTTGTCCAAAGTCCTTTGCTATAGTAGTTATGATAGTTCCCAGTTTGGGATTGTGGAATTGGTACATTCCAAGACGTCTCGCCGGAATCGTGTTTGGTATCGTCATTTATTCTTGCCATTCTCAGCACTCGTCAAAGAGACAAGTAAAATCCTCATTCTTGGCCAATTTTTTGTGTACGGTGTGGTATCATTGCCTTATGTACTGGCAAATTAACTGTCCTCTTATCCTCCTATCTCACTCCGGCTCCATCATAACTTACAACATGTGTACATTGGACTACTCCAGCGATGTGCCTTTTTGAGTGGATCTAGCGAAGCATTATCATATCTCCTGTTGATTTCCTCTCTCCCCTGCCGCTTGGTGTGCTGGAATTGCTCAAGAATTCATATGAATTTTCTTAAAGAATGAATAACATCGGTCTGGAAGTGAAGTGACGAAATTTAGTGCATACTTTAAACAGGCTAATATCTTAGGAGAAATGAGAATAGGGATCTGGCCGATTGATCTTGGAACGAGTAAAACATATTCTGGAATCGAAGGGTATCCAGGGGGTGCTTTTAACAAGACTAATTCTGTGTGATCTCCACGCCCACCTCTTTTGGCGAATGTGCACCTGAACATATTAAATAAGTTGTAGTTTGGTGCTGAGATTGGCAAGACTCATTGACTATACCGACTACGATAGCAGCGAGCGGGAATGTACCAAGTTCACTGTCCGATGCTGGGAATCAGCATAACTACTGTGGCAAAAGACTTGAAAGAGGTGGATCTAGCTAGGTCGCCCCAACAACACAAATCAGTTACAAAAATGAGTTTAATCCAACACGTAATCGAAGGATGGATGTGGATGGCGTCAGCCAGAATGTTTGTCTAGAGCCAATTACCTGCTGGCCAGGAGTACTTTTTTGTCGTCCTTTGGTGGGAGATACCTCGAATATTTTCGTTCTACACTTTGACTCGAAATGGAAGCAGCTCAATTTCATTGAAGGACTAAATTTCTATTAATAACCAAGTTCTGATTAGTCGCTGGTAAAGATTGGACCTTGAGAAGTTTCTCTTTTTTGGTTTGATAACGCCAAATTTAGTAGACGCTGCCACAAGCGTCGGGCTTCAAAGCATCAAGGGTTATGTGGCCAGATTTACGACCAAAACGAGCAGATGCCAAACGGCAAGAGGGTGATCAGCGAACCTCTTCTGCACATGTTCCATAACGAGGCGAATCCTACATCCGTGAATGGCTCCAAAGCCTGCCTAGACCCTGGTTCCCCTGCCCTCTCACCATTATCTACAGCTTTGGACCCCTTTTGGCCGGACTTAGTTGCCTCAGTGGGCAGGTAAAAGTCAGCTAAAATGTATCCTTTATTGCATGCCATTATATCCCTGCTACTGGATCATTTAGGTCGGGGTCGAGTTGATCTGGACCCCGTCATGGTGGGGTCTCAGACTCGTGGCTCGACTCAGACCCTGCCCCATTCCGCTGGCGGTGCCCATTTCATTTCGGACTGCGTTAGGACACAGTAAAGACGATGAGAGGCAGATGCCATGAGCCATTACGCAAAGAGGGGGGAACATATTTACACAGGTTCACTAAAAATTGCCTCGTTGCATGCAACAAGGGGGCTATTACCCATATATATATATATATATATGCATATATATATATACATTTATTTATATACAATATGTCAAAAGTAGTAAGTAAGTAGTGCATGCTCAGTCTAAAAAAGGTATGTGGGATGTGCAGGCAATCGGTCCCAAATGAAATTCACTGCATTAGTTGGGAGGACAAGATGAAGACTGGTATGCTGGTATATAATCCTGGCTATAGTGTTAGAGACAGTTCGATTTGTTATTACTCCTTCGATTGACGAGAAGCAAGACAAAGAAATGTGCTGTTTGGAAGAGGGCTTGAGTGGATCTGTAGAGAACGCAGACCTTTAACAATGGAAGTGCAGAAGTAAAGTGAAACGAGGCCCATAAAAAACGAGAAGGTCGTGTAAAAAGTGGTGAACAGTCCCCTGCTGAAGAGGATCCACTTGGCAACCTGAAGCATACATGATCAGGGTAAGTGGGATAGAGTGGGATGGGGTGGGGTGCTGAGGCTGTCGAACAGTCATGAAGTGGACGACCGTTGCCAGGCAGCTTTTAGGGCTAAGAGGGTAGAGTAAGTCGGTTGAAAGGAGAGAACAGAGAGTTGACACAGCCGTCCAATCAGGTTGGGTAAACCCATTGGGCAGGTTTTTGTGAGTGAGGGTCTAGCCAATCCTAGGCCTGAAAGTAGGCAGAAGAGCCGGTGTTCATGAGAGCCGTGGAAGGTGATGGCGAATGCAACATGAGGCCATGCAGTGGGCCGGCCGGCGGGCGTACCATCTGCTGCGTCTCGCCGCTGAGGCAGCTGCCCTGCCCCGGGACCAGAGCCCCAGGACCGAGCCCCAACGCAGTCGGTGTCAACACGCCTCCGGCCGTCTCCGACCTACGGAATGTCGGCTCCAGACGAGATGGCACCATCGGGTAGTAGTTCTGGTAGGCGGCGGCGGTGACGGCAACGGCGGTGGCATCGATTACAGCGCCTGACGAGTACGTCTTTGGCGACATGCCGGAGCTGAAAATGCTGGTATCACCGAGAAATGCATCTGCTCCGCTCGAGGCTTGAGCATCTTCACAACTAGAAAAAGCGTAGCAGAATTCGGGCATGAGGCCAACTTTTACATTTTTGGTAAGCAAGTTATCAACAACCAGGTCGACTTATGGCTGCTTAATTTGGCTTAATGACTAAAATTGTAATTTTTCCACAACCCGATGTGTAAACTTCAGAAGATCATTGAATTGAACTTGGTCTTGGTCCTCCTAGCATGGACTGGACTGTAGTTTCGGCCTCGCCTAATTAAACTACTTATTTCGTTGTAAGTAGTAAACTATAAGTAAATCTTGCAAAAAATCTTAACCTAAATTGATGTGGCTTGGGCGGATTTGTAAATTTGCCCCACCGGATACCGAAAGAGGGCTGCTTTTACTTGTGACCGTTTGATTGTGCAAAGAAAACATCAGCTCAACTTCCTGCGACTCTGAGCCATCCGTGTTAAGATTTCATCCGTCATAATATTGAAATCTTCAGGGCCCAAAACCATCATCAACAAGCAATCATCACAAAAACCTCGAAGCAAGGAAGATGTCCGCACGAAATTCTACTTCTTATATCTAATTTGCGATCTCAATGAGGCTTTGCTTGATATCGAAGACATGAAGCTCTACATTGTGTGGCCATCAGTCTGGTCACAGTCACCTTTATATTTATGGTCTTTGTTCGACCTTTTTTACGCAACTTGGTCGGAGCGTCAAAGAAACCTTGTGGACAGTACATAGTCCCGTGTCCTCTGACATAGCATTCGGGATTTCTACAATTGGACCATTGGCTGGGCACATTCCCAAACGTTTCTCCGGCATCGTCAGTTAGAGGCGCCATCGTTAGAAAGTGTTACAACTTGGCCATTTTAAAAATGTGTAACGTTGTGTTTACGATGGTGCCTCTAACTGACGATTCCGGAGAAACGTTTGTTAATGTACCCAGCCAATGGTCCAATGCTGAAAATCCCGAATACTATGACAGAGGACAAGGGACTAGAGACGTTCTACAAGATCTCCATGACGTTCTCATCATAAGTTTTTCGTTTTGAAGCAGGTTTTCTAGACTATAAGTCGATCATGTACATATGAGAGATATTCACTGTATTTTGTTTAAAGTAATTGAAATCTTTTTATAAACAAAAAGCAGGTAATGTAGTCAATTCATATAGCAATTACAAGTTTTATTCATTAAAAATATCATAAAAATGTAATATAATAAATGCCTGGACTAAATTGAAATTCAGTTTTTCCCTGTGATCCAATGGCACTCATTTCAGTCTGGTGTAGTGGTTAACATTTCGAAACTATATATACTTGTACTACCCGGGTTCGAGTCCCGCTAAGTGCCTTGATGTGACCAATTTTGGCGAGGTCAAAACGGCAGCCCAACCTGGATGAGAATGTCTTTTAA